AATGAAAAGGCTGAGATTCCGCACCGCACACATTTCGTGAGCAGTGAGGGTGAACTGCTCTCTGAAGAGGAAGATATTAAGAGCATAAATGGCCTTTGCCATCTATCTGGCTTGGTGGAAAGCCCCAGGTGCCCTGATCTTCACACCTGCCTCTGGAATTTCCCCCAAGGTGTATGACAAGACAATGAGTCCCTTGTAATCGTCCAGGAGGTAAACTAGAATTTTTATGAGACTAAAATAACTAAACGTTTTGCGGGACCCCTAAACATCGTCCAATTTTCTTCAGATTTCATACAAAGCTTCACTCGTGTACATTAAGTGCAACAAGGGCATCATGTGCTCGCTTGGTTCAGACAATTTTAAAATTTTCACCCTATAATTTGGACCACCCTACGTGCTTTATAGATGACGAATTTAATTATTACCGTAAATGCTCCTCCGAAAAATCTGCCACCACCGCGTTTCGTCTATTTGTTTACAACCGACCCGCTCGGTCTGAGTGTATTATAATGTCCACTAAAAACATTAAATTAAACCATGACGCTTCAACCAGATATCAAATTAGGTACTTTCTGTTTAATATGGAAGGGGTCTGGGGGCATAGGTAAGGTTAGGTAGGTTTCTTTGGTTGGTTCTCTTAGTCTCTAGTAAATGTCGCCTCTTTTAAAATATTTACTACCCTGTATTATGAGAACATCTGTGAAAAAAATTTATGAAATCGAACAACCCCTTATGACGAAAATGATTCCGGGACTTAGAAACCTTCCATATCAGGATAGGTTAAAGAAACTAGACTTGCATTCCCTAGAAAGACGAAGAGTGCGGGGAGATATGATAGAAGTATTCAAGTGGGTGAAAGGAATCAATAAAGGTGATATAGATAAAGTTCTTATAATATCCGAGCAGGATAGGACTCGGAACAACGGATTCAAGTTGGATAAGTTTAGGTTTAGGAGGGAGATAGGAAGGAACTGGTTTACAAATAGGGTGGTGGACGAGTGGAACAAGCTTAGCAACTTTGTAGTAAGTGCTGGAACGCTGGAAAGTTTCAAAGGGAGGCTGGATAGATTCATGCATGATAGTGTGGTAGTAACTCTCGACAGGAGCTGCCATGCACAGGCCAACCGGCCTATTGCAGACTCCTTATGTTCTTATGGTGGAAGTGCTGTTCAGTCAGACATTACCAATGCAATTTTACCATAGGAAAATACTTGAATTCAAAGGAAAAAGTTTTTATATATAGTAATTTTTATTAGGATAAGTATTATTTTAATTTCGGCCATCTGGGGAATCTAAGGAATTTAACTAATGGAATCAGTAGTCTAGACAATTCTAAGACACTTCTTCAATGATGTTTCCCTCACAAACGATTTACAGGGGAAGGGAGGGGAAAACGTAGCACCCAGTTAGCAGGTTAGGTCAATTCATTTGCGAGGGAAGCGTCATAGAAGAAAAGAGGGCTAATATTAATGACTAACCCGTTGACGTGTTATTTATTTTGATGTTTATATTCTTGCTATATTTTCATTAGTGAGTACTGATATAAAAAGAAGTTTTTTAAATTGCTTCCTTTGGTAGATGATTAGCGACTGGGTGTGCACTATGTACTGTACTTTGTCTTTCTCGGCGGTGATACGGCAATACACAGCCAATCATTTCCGATTGACACCAGTGTATGTCAGGAGGCTGCTCTCACGTCCACATAAAATTTAAAACCACACTACCGTATATCATAGTAAGTTCTTTCTGTTAAATATGCCGGGGGGGGGCTCATGGCTTGGAAGTTAGGTAGGTTTTTTTGGTTAGGTTGGTGAGGTCTTCTAACACTGCTTCTGCCACTTTTTTTCGTTTCAACTAAGGTTAGGTTTAATTTAGAAATAACCACTTTTTAACACATTTTCCAAAACTACGAGTGTCCACTATAAAACACAGTGAATTTTAAGCATTTTTAAATTCACAATGAACACGTCCAATAATAAGACAAAGGGAAAACACAATGTTTAAATTAATGTTGTTTAATGAACACAAAATATATAAATACACATATACGTACCTGTTACATACATATACAGTACAGGTATATGTAAAAATCAAATCCTTATTTTTTAATTACATCAATCAGTTTTTGTACATTCGCTATATTGATATTCATACAACCACCTTTACACTTAGTATATGCTTCCATAGTGATTGCTGGATAGTGACACGTCACTAATCGGAGCCCTAACTGGACACTGTGCCCACTGTACCCCCTTTATAATCCGATCATATACAGTGGTCCCTCGGTTAACGAGTTACCTTCCATAAGATTCTTAACTTCGGTTAAAGAGCAATCCCTCGATTAACGAGTTTCTTACGAGCCGACCTCAACATGTTTTCGCTTGCATTTGGCGGTCCACCAGCTGTAGTATTAGTCCACCAATACAGTAATCGGTTCTAGGGCTTAAATTCCTTACTATTTTAGTAAATATCAAGAAATTTATACTATTCAATAATTTTAAAAGTTTAATATTAAATTGAAGGTAAGGAAACTAGTTTTATGCGCGCCATCCAGCCTGTCAACACACCAAACAGGTGCCAGTCTCTCTGTCTTTACAGTGGAGGTAACACCTTGCTTGAGACTCTCTTCAACTAAATGCTTTTTTCAGTGTTTCCAAGGAAATTATTGGTCATTTTGAAATTTATTTTCCATATTGACAATATATAATGCAGTGCAGTGTTGATTTAAAGAAAATAATCTTGAATTACACCAAGAGAACTAAAATTTTATGGGTGAAATGGCGCCATGGGGTGACTTCTCTTCCACCCCAATGCCTTCTCTTCTCCCTTCTCCTCCACCCCCATTCTAATTCCCATCATTATCCAGGAGCCTTCTACATACACACCTCAAAGTAAGTGTACTTTTCTACCTTTTTTGTTGAATTTAGGCAATTTTCGGTGAGCTGGAATCAATGACCCAAAAACCCATAGAAACAATGATTTCGGTTAACGAGCCTTGGTTAACGAATTACCTTCCATAAGAATCTTCTATTCGGTTAACGAAAAAAATTCGGTTAACAAAATTTTTACGAAATCATGTCAACATGTTTTCGCTTGCTCACCATCTGGAATATTAGTCAGCCAATACAGTAATCGGTTCTAGGGTTTAAATTCGTTCCCATTTGAGTAAATATCAAGAAGGTTGTACTATTCAATAATTTTCCAAGATTTATATTAAAATTTTTAGTCATTTTAACACTTATTTAACATAATTGCAGTACAGGAAACTAGTTTTTGGTGTGCCAATCAGCCACTTGAATCACCCAGCAAAGCATCAGTTTGTATCTCTGGTCAGTGGAGGTAACATCTTGCTTGTGGCTCTCTTGAACATAAATTATTTTTACGTTTTTACAGTACAATTATTGGTCATTCTGAAATTTATTTTACATATTGACAATATATAGTGCAGTCCTTTGATAGTCATGTCACACTCAGGTTAGTCGGTGACTTTGTGACTTGACAAGCATTGGGTGTCGTTGTCAGGTCTCCAGGTAAAATGAGGTCGCTCTCTGTGGGTACATTGTGTTAGGTCACCCCACGTGAGGTCATGTAATCTATCATCAAACGCGATACCCCTTCTCTCAACGACCGTGCTGTTGTATCATCTCAAATTATCAAAGAATCGACTCTGTATCTGTGTTCTTTTGGCAAAATAAACTGTTTCAATATCAATACCAGGAAGTGCCAGAAAAGAGTTTACAAGAACCTCCAGACAAGGCTAAAGACCCTCTCCCAAGACTGCCAAGCTGGTCATAAGTCAGTCCAATGTAACATTTTTAATTTTTTAATTAATTTTTTAAGAGTTTTCACTAACATACGGTAGAATGTTTTAGTTAAAGGTTGGTTATCCGAGATGGTCCGAGTTGGTATTTGATTGGCCGAGTTGGATGTGGACCGAGTTGGAGGTGCACCATATCATGATTTTAAACACAAAAATAGAAATGACAATGCATAGAACCTAATAGAACCTTGCCTAACATGTTGGGTATGTTAGGTCAGGTTCTATTAGGTTCTATGCACTCACTACCGTGTTAATTTATGTTAAAGAACTTAATATTGAGGTTGAAATACATCAGCAATGGTGAGGAGGAATTCGTGGAAGCATTCACCAACATTTATAGGAACACAGGTAAACAGCGCCGGGAGGAGAATTGTGAAACGGGACAGAGTAAATAAAAAATTAATACTTAAAATCATAATAGAAAGTTGTCGTTTCTTTTAATATACTTAAAATCACCAAACAAAATAAAGAAAATCAACAAACAACTTCTGGTGGTAGCAGTTATCTACACCTTTACCGTAAATATTACTTTTATTAGTTACTATCTTCCAAACAAAAACTGTGGTGTTGGCAGTCCGACTAATTACCCAAATGTAGCAAAATGTAGCCGCAATGAAGTCAAATAATGGTCCTACATGAATAAATCGGACTGGTAATCACTTCTCGACTAGTATTTGGTGTCACAAAGTCACAAAAAATTGTTAAACTTAATTTAATCTGAGTTGTGTTGTGTTAGGTTAGGTTAGGTACATGCACTAAGTTAGGTTAGGTACATGCACTTGATCTATTAACTCAGATTAAATTAAGTTTACCAATTTTTTCTGACTTCGTGACACCAAATATTAGTCGAGGTTAGGTTAGATTAGGTTAGGTACATGCACTTGATCTATTAACTCAGATTAAATTAAGTTTACCAATTTTTTCTGACTTCGTGATTGGCAGTCCGATTTATTCATGTAGGACCATTATTTGACTTCATTGCGGCTACATTTGGGTAATTAGTCGGACCCTGAGAAGGGTGTTATCCAATGTGACCCTACCAAGCATCACAGGGTCCCCGGTCCCCTCCTGTACTAACACTGGATAGACTGCCCAAAGAGCTACCATCAGTAAGCTGATAAGTAGCGAAAATTACAAATGAAATATATAAAAATATATAAAAATGCCTTTGGGTGCTAACCATCTCCTCTTATTGAAACAAAATCACGGGTAACGCCCATCACTAGCCTCTACTAAAGTTTGTATGTAAGGGTGAGCAACTCATGCCGTCCACTTTCCCTCTGGTTTTGTCGAGATATAAGACATTTTTCAGTTTCATTTGGAATGTTTTCTTATCTTGGCTCTGCAAGTTACCCATTACTTACCTTCTTCTCTTTCTAAGTATCTCAACATGGAGAATTGGCTTAAGTTCACTATCCATAATTCAAACAAAAGGAGCCACCTGTAGTACGGCTAAGGCGTTAGGACAGCGTTGGTAAAAATAACATTAGTAAAATATATTTACCGGATTAAATACCGTACGTTGAATATCGTTTGAGTAAATTGTGGTAAATTTGTCAAAATTTTGACAATCTTACATTAATTTATGTAATTTATTTGTATGCTAAATTTACTTCAAAAATTGTCATTGGATAACTGCTAATATTAAGTATTCCACGGTCCACGAGGGGCCGCAAAGGAATTATATATATATATATATATATATATATATATATATATATATATATATATATATATATATATATATATATATATATATATATATATATATATATATATATATATATAGATATATCTTGATAAAATCACACGGGAAGATGGAAACAACGGAGTACCTTAGCTTTCGTCTTTATTCAAGACATCTTCAGAGGCAACTGGATTACATGGACAGAGAGAGGCTTAAATATACAGGGTGACCTAAAAACATGAGGTCAGGTCAAAATGATGACATCCACTAATCCCCACACCAACACACGTAGAGGAGCTTAAGAGAAGGGTGGTGACGTGACTAGACAAGTCAGGTCAGAAAATAGGGGGCCCACAAAATAACTATCATACATCTAGATCAAAGGTTTTCAAAGCATTTTTAACCTTGGGCCACTGACAAATAAATTTATGTAACATATTATCATATATATATATATATATATATATATATATATATATATATATATATATATATATATATATATATATATATATATATATATATATATATATATATATATATATATATATATATATATATATATATATATATATATATATATATATATATATATATCAGTAAATCACTGTAGGTGCGCGTCATCCAGGTATATGCTGAAAAAGAAAACACGAAGTTCCCAAGCGCTTTCGTGTAATTCACATCTTCAGGGGTGAGTACAGACTAAGGGGAAGTACAAAACAAGGTGTATATATACAGAGGTGGGTGACATCAGGTCCACAATGGTCAGGTATTAGGTAATGACCCTACTAATCTTTAAAAAGCACCGCAACGGTCGGATGTCAGGTCAAAGGGTAAGGTGACCCAACCTTCTCACCTGGTTACAAATCTTCTTAATTACAAAATTGTCCAGTTTGTACATTCCATTACTCAAATTCATGCTGACTGCTTCGGTATGTTTAATGGGATTAGATTCTAAAATGTTCCTACTGTCAATTGAATTACAAGGTAATATTGAGGAGGCATTATCCCAGTCAATGCAATGCTTATTATCCCTCAAATGAACTAACAGAGCATTAGATTCCTGGCCTGTCCTAACACTATATTTATGTTGTTTAAGTCTAGTTACAAGATCTTTACCTGTCTGGCCTAAGTAAAACATATTACATTCCTTGCAAGGTTGTTTCGTAGTAGATGTTCCATCTCGGCATCTCTGATAATACTCTCAAGTACCTTACATATTATGCTGGTCAGGCTCACCGGTCTATAGTTGTTCGTGGAGTGACGATCGCCCTTCTTGAAGATAGGACTCACATGAGCTAATTTCCAATCACTGGGGACCTTTTGTTCATCCAGGCATTTACAGAACAGGATCTTCAGGGGCTTCTGAAGCTCGTTGCACAACTCTCTTAGCACTCTAGGATGCACCATGTCAGGGCCTGGACTCTTATGGACATTTAGCTTTGACAGTTTATTTCTAATACCCTCTTCTGTGAACACAATGTGAGTCAGTGCTGTGTCGAACCGTCTGTCCTCAAACGCAGGAAGGTTAGTTGCATCCTCTCTTGTGAACACCGAGGAAAAGAAGCTGTTTAATACCTCAGCTTTATACTGGTCAGAATCTGCGTAACTACCATCTTCAAGCCTCAGGTCTGATACTCCTACTTTTTGTTTTTAATTTCGACTTTGCATAGCGGTAAAACGCCTTTGGGTTTGACTTGACCTCTCTTGCAATTAGCCTCTGGAACTCCTTTTCAGCCCTTCTACACTCTGCCTTTGCTTGGTTTCTGGCTCTTGCATACATCCTTCTGTCCTGCTCATCGTTTAACCCAACCCACGTCTTGAATTTCTGGGTTTTCTTCTTAACTTTGTCTACCGCCGCATGGTTCATGTGTAAGGATCCTCTTGTATTTCTAGAAGCACTGGGTTTGGTCTTGGGTATGTATTTATCGATCAAATGGGTCACTTTACTAGTTATGATATTCAGCATGGTACTATCGACAATATATCCCTAGATTTTACTAAGGCTTTCGACAGTGTACCCCACGAAAGGCTGAAAATGAAACTGGAAGGGTACGGAATTCGGGGAAATGTCCTAGCGTGGATAGAAGACTTTCTACATGACCGCAAGCAGTGTGTGGTGATTAATGGCACGAAATCATAACCCGTACCTGTCACAAGCGGGGTACCACAGGGCAGTGTATTGGGCCCACTGTTGTTTGTTTGTTTTATAAATGACATGCCTGACGTAGTACACTCCGTAAAAATGTTTGCCGATGACACCAAGTTATTTCGGAAAATCAAGAACTATGCAGACTGTGAAGGGCTGCAGAAGGATCTCTGTGAACTCCAAGAATGGTCGAAGAAATGGCTGCTGAGATTCAATGTCACGAAGTGTAAGAGGATGCACCTGGGGCGTACCAACGGTAAGGAGGCGTATCATATGTCCCATCGGGATGAAGAAACTGCACTAGTTGAGACTGTGTGTGAGAAGGACCTAGGTGTGTATGTTGACAATGAGCTGAAGTTCTCGGGCCATTGCAAGAAGAAGGCAAATTAGGTAAATAAATTGTTGGGTCTTATAAGAAGGTCGTTCAGATATCTATACGGTCCGTCCCTCGTAACGATCTTCAAGAGTGAAGTGATTCCCCATCTGGAGTACTGTCACCCCTTCTGGTCCCCGAGATATGCTAGGGACTGTCAGTTGGTTGAAAATGTTCAAAGGAGGGCCACCAGACTGGTGCCTGCACTTCGGCACCTCAACTACCCTGAGAGATTGTAGCTCCTGAACTTGCCTAGCTTATACTACAGACGGGCAAGGGGCGATCTAATTGAGGTTTATAAGCATCTCAAGGGGCAATACTCAGTCGAGTGTCCTTACTTGGAGCTGGCGGACGCTCAAGATTGAAGAAGCCGCAAGTCCAGAGAACTGTGAGGGCAAACTTTTTCGGAGTGAGAGTTGTGAACTCTTGGAACAATCTACCAGAAAGTGTTGTGACGGCACCGAGTGTGAGCTCCTTCAAGACAAGACTTGACCAACACTGGAGCAGGTTCGGGTACATTCAGGAGCCGCTGCATGCCCAGTACTTGCCAACAGTGCGTACAGAGACGTGACCGATCACCCAAGCGGCTAACGAGCCGATCAGTGGTGAAGAGGATAAAAGTAAAAGTAAAGCAAAACGCCCTCTTGGAAATAAGCACCTGACAGTTTATGTCGGCCATCCTTAGTCAAGTTGCCTTACTGTTTAACCACAGGTCAATGACCCACATCTGGACCTGGGGGCGAAAATATAATAGTAATAATAATAATAATAATAATAATAATAATAATAATAATAATAATAATAATAATAATAATAATAACAATAATAATAATAATAATAATAATAATAATAATAATAATAATAACAATAATAATAATAATAATAATAATAATAATAATAATAATAATAATAATGATGATGATGATGATGATTATTATTATTCCAGAATAAAATGGGCAAGAAATGTCACACACACACACACACACCCTCCACCAGCCTGACACACACACACACCCTCCACCACCCTCACACACACACACACCCTCCACCACCCTCACACACACACACACCCTCCACCAGCCTGACACACACACACACCCTCCACCACCCTCACACACACACGCACCCTCCACCACCCTCACACACACGCTCACCCTTCACCAAGCTGACACACGACCTCAAGTAAGTTAGAGGCGCCAGAGAAGTGGCTGACAGTAGGGAGGTGGGCGCCACAAACCTCAGCCAGGAGGGAGGTGAAGTGGCCCTTATATCTAGAGTACAGTACAGTAGTAGTCACCTCAGATAGTACTCAAGAGTCTCCCCCGACATCATTACTGGTTTTATCACTTCTCAATAACCCACTCACTGGGGCACATTTCATGTGAATAACATTACGGACACACTAGCTAGGAGGCACATCACGTGTATTACGGACACACTAGGAGGAACATCACTTTTTTTTTTATGAGGATTAGCCCATCCGGGCACAGGTCACTGACCTGGTGGGCGAAAATATAATAATAATAATAATAATTATAATAATAATAATAATAATAATAATGATAATAATAATAATAATAATAATAATAATAATAATAATATTAATAATAATAAAGGACCATAAATAATTCTCAAAAAAAAGACAAATACTGTAGTGAGAAACAATATATGTATGTTGTGTTGTCAAAGTGAGAGAAACAATTGAGACCCTGCAATTGTGTGTAAATGAGGCAGAAAGTCAGATGAGCAACCTGGGACTTAGTCGAAAAATTTGTGATGTCATATGGCAGCAGGGTCTACCATTAGATAATACATTATGGTTTCAATATCTTCCCAGATGGTAGTACCTCCCGTTTGATAGCTGCCTACTACCTACTACCTGGTAAACAAAGTTTTTTTTTTATGTGAGAAGACCGGGAGGTGGGAGAAAAAGTCTCTCAATGGATCAGTCTATCAGTGAGTGGCATGGGAATGGTGAATGGCAGGGTTGATAACTCCCCCAAGGCACTGGTGAGTGACAGGGATGGTGGTGGTGTGCGTCATTCAGTGTTTCCGGTGTAAGTAAAAGCAGTTGCTCGCTCGC